ACTCCTGAGGATGACATTTCCGTCGGCATGTTGCTCCCATTCGTTAAGCCGTCAACATTGTTTTGTTGTTGTTGTTGGTGATTAAGATGATGCTGCGATACCGTTGACTGTGACCCAACGACACTACGGTTTGCGTTGCTTGTCGCTCCCGGTAAAGCCGGAAAATCATCAATTGTAAATTCCTGAGATTGCTGTTGGTGCATAGACCTGCTGTCATTAGATACGGAATTAGTTCCAGTTTGCGCGGTGTTTGCATAGCTTGATCCCAGACCACTCGCTGACGCATTGCTGGAAGTCGTGTTAGTACTGCCCAAAGCTGGAAATTCGGACATGTCAAATATATCATTTTGCTGGGAATGTACGCTATGTATTGCATTTGGGTAAGATGTAAAGGTTTGTTGTCGCGACGAGATGTTTTGAGATGATAATGAGGAACCTGGGGTGTAATTCCATGATGCCACATTTGATGCTAGATATAAAAGAAGCCGAGTGAATTAGTTAAACATTGACACTTGGCGACCTTGTATCACCTTATTTAAGTATCCTTGAATAAGAAGATCAAAGGTTGAATGAAAACTTTGGAGCAACCAAGGAAATCTCAATAAAATACCAATCCTCCCATTGACTCTTCCTATCAATGGATTTCCCCCGACAGTCCTTTGGGGCATCGTGGTCTGAGGAAATGTGGAATTAATAGGACCTAGGCGACTGACCTGTTGGGTCGGGTTCACGACTACCCGAGATTAGTCACCAAAAGTTAGAGGAGTAAAATGAAGTGAACGAGCATTAACCTATAAAATCTAATGAATTGTACATACCATTCATACCTGACATGTTCATCAAGCCACCTCCCGTTTGTGGACCAAACCGATTTGGATTGTTGATTGCTTTAACGATGTTGCTGTTGGCAGGCATCGAGTCTGACAAAAAATTTTTTGCAAAGGCCATTATCAAAACCGAAGGTATTGAAAGGAGTGTGTGGTCTGTGCGCTTAAATAAGAGCCTTGACCTACCAGTATACAATAAAGATAGTGTTAGAAGTTTAGTGTTATGGCTTTAGTTCGAAAACTTTTTAGCTGGTAGAGAGTCAAAGCCAACCTTGTGTACTTTGTACAATAGATTTTTTATTTAATTATCACATGATTAATTCTGATGCATGTGACAAGATGTGACAAAAATTATAATTTCAGCGAACAGGCAAGATTCCCGAATTAGGTATAAAGCCCACGCGTCATCAATGCAACCTAAATGATCTACAAGAAATTCGAAATGCGAATTCTTACAAACTTTACAAATTTTTACTCTCGTTCAAACTCACGCATCAACACTCTCCTGCCATTAAATGTTTATGGACCAACGCGAACACCCTTAAGCAATTCTCATTTTCCAGTTCGTTTTTCAACTGTGGTTACGACACTCAAGAAAAATTCCCCAAAAATAAAACTTCGTCCTTTGCCTGTAATTAAAAGTAAAGCACCTCGATTTATGGTTTATGGAGTCTTGGGGGCATCTTTTTGGATCATAAGCATTACGCTATCATTTAATCACCAACGTGCGAACAGCAGTACAGTTCAAGGGAGCCTGTTCAATGTTCGTTACCATCCCAAATCTATAGAATTACTGGGTAATAATATTAATTTCTCCTCAAGTAATCCGTGGATCTCGGGTTCGATCAATCACTTGAAGGGTGTCGTTAACTTTAGATATTCCGTAAAGGGCGATAATGGTGAAAAATTAATTTCTTATTATGACGCAATTTATTTTATTTCATTTGTCTCGCAATAATTTTCTAAATGCCAAACTTTAACTGCAAAAAAACAGGCAAGGGAATTGTCCGATTTCATTCGATTCGTACTACAAATGATGAAAAATGGCGTGTTTTAGAATTCAGCCTAACTACTGAAGACGGAACGATTATTTCATTGAAAGATGATGAAAATCTTTCGACATCGCTTTTATAACGCAGACAACAATTATATCCAGAAATGTCATATTTAAAAGGGTTTTATAAAAGTAAAACGAACATTTTGGACTGCAGACAATCTTTTATCACAATATGGTTGATCCCTATCGTCTATTATCTGATAACCAAAGACACAGATCTACATGTTCATTGATATCTGATTCCTTGATAGCACTATTGCCACAAATTGGACATTGAACAGAGTTCGGTGAAGCTTCTTCACCTGAATCTATTTCGATAACTCTTGATTCTTGGACGATGTTATCATTATCACCAGTTGAATCCTTTTTCCTTTTACTTCCCAACCAACTGTCGAGTTTAGTATTGGAGCCAGCATCATCAATTTCACGTTTACGTTTCTCGATCCTCTTTGTTGACTTCTTCGTGGCTTCCTTTTTGGGAGGTTCCGATATTTTGGTAAATTTTCCTCGACATGACTCTTGATGTTCATTCCACCAACTATCCGCAGGTTGAGGTGGCCTAAGAATATTGATATAGACTTCAAACGACTGAATTGCATTGAATGGAGGGAAAGTTGAGAACTTTCCGTAGAAAGACGTTACCTGTTCATCGCACGTCTTACGATACCGAAATATGGTGCTTTATATTGACACTGCCCCTGTTGTTTAATTAATATGGACAATTAATATTTTTAATGGGACATTCGAAACATATCAATCGATATTCACGTCACATTTCCAAACGTGTGTCCTATAATAGTTGACTTCGTCGTGAAAATTATGATATACAGTAATGTTAGTTCCGGCTGCTTTATTAATGCGATTCATGTGTTTATGAAATTCCTGCCCGTGAGCATCTAATCATGTAAAGAGTAAATTCATCAAATGGCATTAACGTAAGAGAAAAACCATCATAGATACGTACCATGATCACGGTTATTTTTTGTTACGAATAGGTAGGCGTGAATCATTTCGTGTAGCAATGTTTCGATCATGTCTTGTCGAGTTCTGAATTTCAATAAGGGTTCACTCATGCGAATGCTACAATAACCACCACTTTGATAACGACACAGCCCCGCACACTGCAAAGTATGGTTAGCGTGGCGACAAGTTAGTGAGGTCGTTTAAAAAATATGCTCTCGAGTCAACTCTCTCACCAATGTCATTTTTTTCGACCAACAGACTTCTACGCTTTGCAAACTATTCCAAAAATATTGTTGATTAAAGGTAATAAACAGACCGTGAAGATCGGGATTTGCATCATAGTGAGAGAATTCATGTATCAATTCTAAGAACAAAAATGACGTTAATATAAACTTTCGATCTTGGGATAAATATTTCATTACCGTCATTGGGAAGCTTTGGAAGCAACTGATTCATAGAGTTTTTTTCTTCAGTTTGTAACTTTAGTGCCAAAGCCAAAGAAGCGTCTTCGTTTTCATTGAATTCCATTGTTCCACTGTATATTGTTACTGAATTTTAATTTAATATACCGTGAAGTCTTTGATCACGAGTATCCCAAATGATATTCAATAATACTTTGATATTAATATAATAACATTTAAAATAAAGAGGAAGTTGAACGTGACACGATTTATTACATTATAAATAAATATATTAGAACTTCAAATTCTATCTCAAAATTTATATTTGTTACCCAAGATTATATATCACGTGGTCATCTTAAATTAATTAAACTTGATTGGCTACGATTTGAAAAAAAAATAAAAAAAATCCGCGAAATCTGAATGATCCTTCTCTTTTGCTTCATATTGAAAAGGTATTACAATTTAGTGGATTATACATAAAAAAAGTTATCAATAAACACAAATGAATTAAAATTTCTTTATTATTATAGATAAATAACGATGCTTATTCCAAAACAGAATCGCAAGCTTATCTATGAAAGCCTTTTCAAAGGTCTGCTATTGTAAATGACATTAATGACATTGTCCACTGTACTCGTAATTGATCGAATGGATTCATTTATTATTCTCAATTATAGAGGGTGTGTTGGTTGCAAAGAAGGAATTCAACGCTCCCAAGCATCAAGATATCGACGTCCCAAATCTTCACGTGATCAAAGCTTGCCAGAGTCTCAACTCTAAAGGATATGTGAAAACACAATTCTCGTGGCAATATTATTATTACTCTTTAACTAATGAAGGAATTGAGTATCTGAGAGAGTACTTGCATTTGCCTCAAGAAATCGTTCCTGCTACATTCAAGAAACAAGCTCGACCAGCTGGCAGGAGTCGTCAGGGTCAGTTTATAAATCATAAAAGATTGAATTGAATGACCTTTTATGCATACATTCATCATTGGACTTTTTATTTACTTTAACAGAAGAAGGTAGGGAAGGTGCGTACCGGGCACCACAAAATCGCGGAGACAGAGACTATCGTCGTCGTGAAGATGGCGAAGGCAAAAAGGAAGGTGCTTCCGGCGACTTTAAACCTGAATTCAAAGGTGGTCGTGGTCGGGGCCGTGCAGAAGAGTAGGATTTCAATAGGCAGTAAGTTAAATAATGGAAGTGATTCATTGGATTTAATAAACATAGCATCAGCTTGGTCAAGAGTTAAGAAAAAAGAACAACAGTTTTGCACAATCATTTATCAATTAATGCATACCATAATGAATGCTAACATTAATAAAAGAAGATATATATCTCTCTAGAACACTTCTAAGCCGACCAGTAATCATATAGAACAGTAGAAATAATTATTCACATGTTTGAATATGGTATTAAAATCTATATATATATATATATATACAGTATATATATTGTCAAATTTAAAATATAGAAATATTTAAATATTTAAAGTTTTTTTTGCAAGTTTAATTTTTATTAATATTTTTATTAACATTTCATTATATCTTTATAATAACAATAACATATAAGTTGTTGAAATATGTATCTTATAATTTAATATTTATTATTGAAAATGCCGTAAATTTTAAAATCGCCGATGTCATAATACCCTGGGTGTATATATAAGAAAACCTGCTTGGGTCAAAATTTTATAATTCCGACTAGAATTATATATAATGCTGGCCTACATGCGATTGATTAGTATCCCCATAAAATAATACCTGGGAATTATTCAGTAGGGGGTATTTTATAGAGCGCTGTATGATACTTTAATAATTTAGAATCAAACATGCATATTATAATTGTTAACTTTGTAAGAAAATTTCTTTACAAGTCTCAAAATAAACAAATTTATTTGTCATAATATATAACAAAAATTAAAGTATAGGTAGAAATGAAGTACAGAACAATTAT